AAATTGCTTGATTAAATAAACCAAGAAATTTGATATATTTTAGTTTTAATTTTACTGACAATGGATAACTAAAAATTGCCCATCCCAACTCTCCAGAAAATGAAATCTTACAGGTAATCAAGTATGTTTTTAAAACATTAAGGGACTTCAATACATGAGATAGAATGCTGAATAACTGAAAGAAAATCTTCAGAAATCAAGAATCAGCTTATCATGCAGTATAGACAATCATGAGTTCTCAGATTCAATTAGCTAACGTGCAGCACTTTTCTCCAATGATTTCTCTCCATTTCAGTTCCACTGAGTAGCTTTGACGTCACTGACTGCTGAAGAGGTTTTCTTTTAAACCCAGACCCTAGCAGAGCTTGACTTGGAGCTCACCAGTGCTTAACATCCCTTTACCTCAGGTCAGATTCAGTCCCCGATTAGATCAATGAGGGATCACTGCAACGTTTTACACAAAATAAAAATGTGGCTGAAAATTCTTGAAAATGACATAGTAATACTACAATACTATGGCTTAGTCCCAAAAAAATCCCCATACTTTATTGCGTCATGTAAATAATTTGTATTTTTAGAGGGCATGAAATACTTTCTTTGTGGCAATTTGTTTTAAAAAAAAATTGTGACAGACAGAAAGATTGAAAATAGTGATAAGTGAATTGGATATTCTAACAGAATTCTAAGAAAACAAGAATCCTTACGTACTCCCAATCAAGACACCCCTTTTAGCTTAAAAACCACTTACATACACCCTTAATTAAAAAAAAAAGGAAAATCTTTTTCTGTCGTAATTTTCATATCTTAAACCATTTTTTCCCCACATTTGGAGGGATCCAAGCCAGGTATGAGCTCACTTCCATGGGTGTCTGGATAACCTGGGAAGAGCTCAGCTTTGCCCGCAAAAAGATCAGGTGTCTCTAATTCCCAGCTCCAAATCAGCAGAAGAAATCAAACCTAGTCAATAATGAGATACTACAGACCTGTACAGTAGAAAAAAGCAGCAGGTTCAACAGATGGCCTAGATTAGAAGAAGGGACAAACTAATGGCTAAACATGATAAGATCTTCCACGTGTACAAGGACATAATAATGTACATATAATAAGACTCCAGAGATAAAGGACTGGACACTCGTAACTTGAAGAGGGGTAAGCATTGATTTACACTCTCCGTGTACAGCAGATAATGACTAAAACAAATTTGAGGAATTTCTTAATATGCACTTTCATATTCCATTACTATCTTACCATTCCTCTGCTGGCCTGAAGTTGAGCGATAGTGCTCTGCTCCTTTTAAACAACTGCACCAGAGGTACATGTGTACAAGCGGGAGCAATATGCCACCAGAGAGAGAGAACACTATGAAATATTTTTACCAACTGAGCCTTATCACAGGCAGAAGTATTCAAGCACTACAAGTTCAGGAAAACAAACCAAAGAAAGTGAAGGTCGAATTCTTACTGAGTGGTTTTTTTTAGGCAGACAAATCTTTATTCCAAATCATTTCAATACAATCAAAAAAACAGACCTGCTGAAAAGCAAAAAGAAAAGTGTCTTCTTGTGAAGGTCTCTATTTTCTCTATTTTTAAGAACGCGTCTATGGACCCTGCAACTCATCATAATTTGGAACTGTAGAAGTTAAATAACTGTGTGGGGAAGACTAAGTTTGAGAGTGTCTAAGGAGAGAAAAGCAATCACATAGTACTAATCTGTAGTGGTATCATTTGGTAACACTGTACAAGATCTGGCCATAAGAATCAGTATTTACTACCAATTAGAAGGCTATATCTAAAACTTTGTAAATAGTACAATTAATTGTGTCAGTTGATACGTCTTTCGCAAAATAAGAAAAGGGAAAAGCCAAAAAACTTTTTAACAGTCTATTCAATAGCCAACGAAAAGAGACTCTTGAAACTGAATTTATGAAAAGCTGAAACAAGGAAGCTTTGTGGCACTGGCAAGAAAACAAACTTGAAAAAAAAAAACAGTGAAACTGAGATGTGGACCCAATTCTGCGTAGACCCAAAATGTTATCCAAGAACTGATACCTATTCCTTAAAAATATTAAGGATTTTCTTTCAAACTGATGTGGCGAGAGAAAAGTATATATGGTACAGCCTCGATTATCTGAAAGCAATCAACATGCTATATACCTATATGCTATGTACTGTATGCATGCACAATATTTTGCCCAATCTCATGCTGCTTTGTTTCTCAGTGAGTCAAATACTGCTATTGACGGAGCTTCGCTTGTTCTTTTGCGCTCGTATATATAATTTTGTTATTTGAGAAACATGACAAGTGTGAAGAGAAAGAAAGTAGTTCTTTCAAAGGAACAAAAGCCTGAAGCGTTAAACAGACTAGACAAAGGTGAGTCCATTCAAAAAACTGCATCTGAATTCAGTGCGGGACGGGTTACAGATGGTGACTGGAAGAGGATAAGAAATGAGGCAGAAAAGTGGTGTTCTGATCGGGCCTCAATTGAAGGACTGAGGGACAGGAAAACGATGAAGAAATGTGAAGATGAAAAGGTCAGCGAAGCTTTAATCAAACGGATAAGGGCATGCCTATCACAGGTCCGATACCTCAAGAGAAAGCTCTGATTTAGAGTAGATTAATAAACCAGATTTCATACTTATATTAAACTTACATTACTCTATGATTTGTCTACTCAGTTTCTGCATTATCCGACATATTCAATTATCCGACATACAATCGGTCCCGTTTAGGTCGGATAATCGGGACTCTACTATATAAGGCATGTAGTTTTCAATGTCATTTATATCTACTCATCCTTTATCTACTGTTTGACTTTGAACTTTACTATGTTATTATCACATGTGATGGTGAAAAGTTATGATTGTTTTTAAAGATTTCACCCTTTAAATGTGTCTAAACATCCATTCCATACAGACCTTTAAGATTAGCCAAAAAAGATACTATATGAATACAGGCCTACATATTCATCTGAAATGGCACTAATGCAAGTCTACTGCCAAAGGACTATTGCGTTTTAAACTACAGGAGAATAGTGTTGTGACATTTATTACTGAACTTCGTACTGAGTTTTTCTTTATCCTGTCCATGTAGTGTTATTAGCAGAAATGCCTTTTTAGTCATTTCAGCCTCATTTTCTCAAAAATATTGTAATTATACAAGTTCACATCGGGAATAAATAACATGAACTTCATCAAATGACATGTTTGGAAAGGGCTTATCCAACCATGATGTGGTTTCTGATCAGGTAGAAGAACCAAGAAAGCAGAACTCAACTTTTCATGTACCGAGAGCAGCACTACTACTTTGTAGGCTGATTCCTTCAGATCTTGGGAGTTAAAGTCTGGCACCAGTCAGCACAACATGGATAGATGCCCTCCAAGGAAAAAGAGCGGATGCTAAAATGGTGATGGCTTACCAGTAGATAGTGCCCTTCCTGATGGACCTAAATTTCCAAATCAATGACCCAGTTTGGTGATCAATGACACCATGGTGTGGGAGGTGCTGTCCGCTTAATTCGCCGCCCTCAGCGAAGGGCTACCCCACCCCGCTTCTAACACCAATGTAGTGCTTTCGGGTTCACGTATGCTCTCTCGCCGCTGCCGCCTCAGGTCAGCCCCCCCATCGCTGGGGACTCGAACCCGGGCCTCCGGCGTCACTCAACAGGGACCCAGCCAGTTGAGCTAAAGGGAAATCTCCTGTCAGCCCAGAGGCTGAGGTCCCTGCTATTCACAGGGAAGGGCGGTGACGTCACCACGCTGGTAAGCAGACTCACACAACCTGCAATGGCAGCCGTACGCATTACAATATACTTAATTCCACTGGTGAAGCAGTTTCTTACTTCCCTGCCTCTTCTGCTGTACAATGGGGCTACTATGTGTTACCCTGATGGGTACTACACTTCAGTGGTGGATGGTCACCCATTCTACATGAGAGGGCACTTGGAGATCCATCAGGATGAAAAGCACTATATAAAAGTGTACTGAAGAAGACTCCACAGCCAAAACGTTGTGTTTTCTTTCTTCTCTTTTCAGCATGGAATAAACCTATTACTTGTTCCTTATTACAAAATAACCTACTTTGGTATGAAACGACTTCCAAAATCACATCTATGTGTTTGCTTTTTTATAATTTCACAGCTTAGATCACCAACTACGTCCCCTTTCCCTCAGGACAGTTAGCACAGTGCTCAAATTATTTATGGGAATTGTTCAATCATCCTAAAGGTAGTCCATACATAAAGAACCATAAGTCACATTGCCTTGCCAAGCTCAGGCTCAAAGGTAGCCAGAATTGAAACAGGAGAGCTCAGGCATACTTTGATAATTCTGAATTTCTTATTCAGGCAATGCAAGTGAACACACGAATAACCAGTAGTAAACTAATATACAAGTGCACACAAATGTAACCTTAAGCAAACAAACCTAAAGAGATTTAGCTTATTATTACACTTTCGTCTGTACAAACATTCTGCATAGCTATGTTTGGTAGTCACAAGTGTAATACTCTACAGTCCTGTCCAGGATTTCTTATTTTAGTTGGTTTGTTTGTTTTTAATTTAAAATGCACTGTAAAGATCAGTTTAATTACCCATTTATTTCTGGAGTCAAGCAAGTCAGATGCTGGCATCAACGTACTCATCTCTGAAAATGGTACCAAACAAGGTTAGAAACTAAGGGTAGCTATTATTAAGAATTATAACGATGAAATTAAAAAAGTTGGAGACGAGCACATAAAAACGGTCAGGTTGTATTTCAAGAGCGACTGATTTCAAGACCCCGACCATCTACAGATTCTGTTGTTGTTTGTTGTAGGGCGCGTATTATTACAGGGTACGAACGTATAAATATTTACAGCATTATCACTGCCAAGGTGCTCGTTCTAATCGCGAACCTTGACGAAACTATGGCAGCTACATAAAACTCTTTTTCGTATTAAATTGGAACCGTCTCCATACTCCTGAAACCCACACAAGATGTTCTGAAGAAATAAAAATGTTAAACCTCTCTGTCCTTCAGTCCCAGCAGCAGCACCTCTTCCATCAGCGTGAGCCGAGTCTCTTTGGAATCTCCCTTGTCATCGTCTTCCTGCTCATCCCCGCGGCGGGGCTCGTAATCCTCGTCCCCGGATCCCCTCTCCTTGTCGGCGGCGGCGTTGCGAGAGGCCTCGGTCCGCCTCTGCACCAGGCCCGAACTCCGCTGGGTCAGGGAAGTCATAGTCTGCAGACAAGTCCTAACAACGGCGAAAACACGAAAATCCTGGTCTCGTCTTGCCTGCGATCTGAACTCTCGGAGGTTATCGGTTCATAAATGAACTCCGATGGTGGTTTTATTCCCGTTTTCGCATTCAGATAGCTATTAAAATAACAGCAATCCCCGATTCACTCAGTCTCCCCTTTTTCTACCTCCACTCCTTCTTTCTCTCTTACTAGTTGATCCAATATGGCGATGAGCGATGACGACAGCAGTGGATGTGGCACTCTAGCCACCCTCAGGTAGGGATGGGAAACTATACAAACAGCTACCCTGCCAAGGTAAATTTGATCAAGTTATTGCACTACAATATACACATAAAAAAACAGTCTTGTAGAACTACTTTTGCCTCATATAGGAGCTCCATGACAAAAACATACTGACACAAATACTGTCTGTGCTTGCATTTTTTAATGCCACTCTTTTGGCTTGAACATGAGACAGTAAATTATTTAAAATCAATTAAGCTATATTGTAATTCAGCAATAACTGTGTAGCATTTAGTAGTAGTGAAAAAAAGTGTTTATGAAATATTTTACTTAATTCGAAAAACTAAATGATAATCTTCCAGTGTCTGGATCAATATGGTCAATATTATCAGGTTAGTTGTCATTACGCATTCATAATTACTCTCCAGAAAGTGCAGACAACAATCAACATGATCATAAAAACACCACTTAAATAGCATAAAGAGGAAAACATCTAAAAGATAAAATAGAAGACTTTTTAATCACCACTATTCCTGCTCCTGAGGTCAATTACATGAACTGTCTCTGTATCACAGGAAACAGTGAAGAGACACCTTTGGCGTGAAAGAAAGCATTGCAGCTTCAAACCATGGGTTGAAATGACCAATATATCACAAATGCCTAAAATGGGCTTTTTCTATAAAGACATTTGATCTGTGGAGATATTAAAAAATCATGGACTTTTGTGTTCCAAGATGAGATACCAAGAATATTATGTAGTGCCTATAATTAAATATATAAAATATGGGAATTGATAAGGTTTTTATCAGTGCACACACTGAGGAACAGTAAAATAGGTGGTGCTTTTGCAAAAGTAAAGAAAATCATTGCATTCTTTACCACTAGGTAGTAATCCCAAACATGAACTGTAGATATAGGATACCTGCTTTATGTTAAGTCATAAAATACAACAATAACTTATTGAATTATTCTCTCCAGCTCCGTAACATGAACTCAGTTGTAGTGGTAGGGAACGACCTCAGTGAAAGAATAAACTCAAAGACTGCAGTCTGTACATATACTCTGAAGGGTTGGAATTGACTGTAATTGAATGGACAAACATACAGGTAGATACACACTCAAAAATATATTGTTAACATTGTGTGATTAAATGCCTAAAATATATACTTCTAGCTTAATGGGAGAGTGATGTTTGAATAGATAAGAACTACCTATTTCTGACTGAACAACAATGATTCTTTAGATAAACAAAAAAATAGAATTTAGTTATTACTGAACCTTTACACAATCCATGCCTTTCACAGTACATGTGATCTACTGTACTACATGGTTCTTTCACCTGAATCCACTAATAGGCTTGTTGATAAAAGCAAAAATTAAGCTGTTGCTTATAAAACATTGTATTCCTACATTTATAGATGTTATCAGAACATTTTTTGAATGGTGGAATTGACTTTTAAATTGATTAGGATACCCACAAAACTCACATGTAGGAAAACACATACTCCTGACTCATAAACACTGTCAGGAGCATGTGTTTTCCTACTTGTCAACATGAAACATTAATATGAGTAAAATTTATTGTGGCTTTATATCAAGGTAGGTAAGAAAGTCATTTTTTGTGTCATACAAAAGCTTGAATGTTCAAATATAATTTGTTTCAGGATCTTTCACAAAAAAGTCATTCTCATAAGTAGAATAAAAAGTACAGTATATCAATAACAAGTTTTGCTGTTATCTAGCTGTAACCAATGGAGAGCATTGTTTGTATGATCTCCCAAGATTCTCATTAAATTGCAGTGAGTCTAGATCCCTGGAGGCATGAAAATAAGTTTACTCTCCTTGGTGACAAAATTGCATCTTTCTTTTCATCACGCACGTACACTAATGTATGTTGCATATTCTTTTTTACTTATGTCCACTTAACGGTACAGATTTAGAAACTTTAGAAGACAGTTGGTAGATTAGGGTGAGAGAATCACTTATTAAGTAGATACTGTATCATTGTTAGTACATTACCAAAGGACATGGATTAAGGAGAAGTCCAGTGACTTCTATACTGTTTACTATATTTTTCTGTCCATTTAGAAAACCATAGGGTGTTTAAACAAAGGTAAATGTTTTTTTCAATAGAGCCAACAATAATTTGCAAACGTTTTCTTGCCATTTTACAGTTTCTAGTGTATTTATCATAATTAGTTATACTGCGGGTTAAAGTATAGGTAAAAATTACCAGTAATTGGAATATTACTTAATATTAGACTTCCCAGAAAAAACATTATTATTTAATGAGTTTCTGATGTATATTAAAACCATGTAATTTATCACAAGCTGTCTTATATTGCCTTAGAAAATTACAGTGTGATTACTAAACTAATTTAGTTAAATAATCTCTTAAATACAAGTGTCATGACTCTTAGGTCACTGTTGTCATTTTATTTCTTCATACTATCTGAATTGCATTTACGTTTACTGTATTTTGTATGTCCTGCTGATAGCATATACAGTACCTCCCCACACCCCCATGATTCCAGCTGATGAAAACTATATATTTTTTATGTCCCTTCATCTGGTCGCAATGTTAAGCTTTGGTCAGAGAAGGATAAGAATATAATATAGGCCCATCTGGTTTGTTTATTATTAGCTAATTGATCTGAGGATCTCATGGTTGAGGTACTGTATAAGCCTGAACATTATGACTTGGTAGCATGTTCCAGACTCTCACAACCCTTTGTGTAAAAAGCATCAACTATTTTCAGGGCCTGTTAAATGCATTTCCTCATAGTTTCAGCTTGTATCCTCTGGTTTGTGTTTTATTGTTAATTCTGTAAAAGTCTGTTGGGTTGACTTTGCCAATGCCTTTGAGAATTTTGAATACTTGAATCAGGCCCCCTCATAGTCTTCAAGACTTCAAGGCTAAAAAGATTAAGTTATTTTAGCCTGTCAGTTCTGGATATTCTTTTAAGCCAGTGATTGTGTCTGGCCGGTCTTTTCTGGAGTGGCTACAGCGCAGCAGGATCTTTTAATTAACATTCTGACCAACTTTTTACACAATATTCTAAATAAATTCTCGTGGGTTTCCTCCAGATGCTCCCAGAAGCCAAAAAAACATACTGGTAAGTTAATTGGCTTCTGGGAAAACTGGCCCTAGCGTTAGTGTTTATCTGTCCACTTCAACTGCTGCTCATGGGAAGATTCCATTCCGTGTTTCAGCAGAACTGTTTTAAAATGTTGCAGTCTGTTCTTTCTTGATTCCTTCTGTATCCTGTGCCTTTCAACATCTTAACCTAATTCCTACATAGCTTTCTTGAAAATATAAACCTGTTTTGGACTGTACTTGTCCATTTACAAAATATAGCATGTATATGCAAGCATGCATGACAGTTCCTTAATGGCCTTCACCTGTTTTTCTTAGACTTGATTATTTTAAATGTCTAGGTTTTTGTTGGCATTCTCTTTAGTAGGTGCTCTAACAAACCTGAGTAAAAAAGCTGCCATTAGCCATGTCTTCCATTTTAGTTTCTGCTGCTTTGCTATTTTTTCAATCTACTGGAATTTACAGTTTCCAAGATTATCACTTTTTTCTTTTTCAGGTCTGACCATCCATTTGCGGTAAATGCTTTATCTTTAAAAGACCATGGACTATTGCATGGCACACTCATACAGTACATATGGAGGTAATTTAGAGAGCTCAGTTAACCCTTTTTCCAGTGAAAACCCATGCAGACAGAGAGAAAGAGGCCTTGCAAACTCCACATAGAGCGTATTTGGAATCAAACTCTGCATATATTGGATGTCTGAATTCAATGGTGTGTAGCATACTCCTAAAACTATACCTCTTGCATGTTTTTGTGTAATGTTTTTGCTGTTTTCTGTTGTGTTTGCAGCTAGGCTAGCAAAACACAGGAAATGTTACAGTAATAAACCAAAGTGAGCAGGCTTTTTTTAGAGCACTTTTCTTTCTATTGTGAAAAAGAAAAATATATACCATTTATATCTTGACACATGAGAGTACAGAGCAGTGATAGTTAGATCTCATCCAGGAATGTTAATTTTAAAATATTCAATTCCTGGGTATCCTGTAGTAAAACAAAATCAATTAATTAAGTTAAAAGCTAAAGATATCAAAGGGAATGAAAACCAGATGAACCCTTGGCTCAGTAAAGAGAGGAAGGAATACACGTATACAGGATGTACAAGCGTAGTTGATATCTCTACATATTTAAGCTCCCGCGTATCTTTTGGAACATGAAAACACTGTTCTTCATTAGGGCCAAGATACTTTTTGGTAGTCTAATATCATACCAAATGCCCAACAGGTTAGCAAAAAAATCTGGCCTAAAAACTCTAGAAAACTTTTCATTCTGTGCCTTTCCTGTTTAAAATACTATTTTAAAATCATCAATCTCTTATTGACCTTGTGTCCATATTACACTCATGACGGTTTACCAAAGCAAAGCTGCACAGCCTTTACAATTTTCATTGTTTGTTTTCCCTTCAGATTCATTCATCTTTAATACAGGGTATATACTGTAATTAAAGGTGCCAAATGCAAGACAGGTTTCTTGCCTTCTTGACTTGCATTTAACTGTAGGATAGAGTGGCATGTGTGTCCCATAATTTTTTTACTAATTAGCAAGAAGACCCACTTAGTAGTAACACACTGAAACGCGGTATGTATTTTTGATGTTATCAATTGTTCGAGAAAACTTCTTTACTTGTCATGTTCTCCACAGGCAAATACCCATTGAGGTGCATATTACTTTTTATTCAATGGTGCAATCCAACAATTGGAAAACAGATGGAATGCTATTTTTTGTTGTCTTTTTTGCTCATGGGTATCTGGATATCTTTTCCAAAGCATGAAAGGCTTTTCCAAAATTAAATTCCAGCAATCAATATCAGTAGAAAAAAACACAATAGGTGAATGGATCTTGGAATATAAAATATCATCATATGAAAGGATTAGATGTTTTTCAAGATTGTGTAGG